AATAAAGAATATAAGTAAAGGAAATATAAACATACGAGGGAGTAGGGGGGTGAGGGTGGGGTGAAGGTGGGCGGGGGGGGGGGGGGGGGGGGGGGGGGGGGGGGGGGGGGGGCGTAATTTAAAGAAGTACTAATTAATTAACTATTTCGTTTATAATATTTCCTATTTATAAATATGTTGTCCTTTATTAGACATAGTATCTTTCATTTTTTTTTCCTCATCAACCTGTTCTTCCATTTATTGGAATAGTAAGTTTAATGTAGATGTAATCTGACAGATATTTAAGTAGAACTATTAAGAAAGATAATGATACTAGAATATACTTCTTAATTGCATTATATTAATGTTTAACTTGATTTTTTTAGTTATTGAATAACATCATATCAATAGATTTAGAACAATGTATCGATCAAAGAAGAAGAAAAATTCCAAAGCATCTAATCGTGATACACATGAAAGTAGTCCACAGTCAATAATGATGAATAATCAAAATCTTAATAATAAAATTGAAACGGAACCAGTTAAATCAGAATCAGCTATTCGTATATTAATTGGTATTATAGGTGTATCATTATTATCTGTACCCATATGTTATATATTATCTTATATGAAACAAATGAAAAATTCATTGAATGTATTTCTTTATGCTGCAGTAATTTGTATATCTGTTGCACCATTAACATATTTTCTATTAATAAAACATTTATTACATGTGAAAAAAGAAATGTATTTTTATGTATTTACAATATTTTCATTTACAGCTATTGCTGATCTTTTATTAGCTTTAACAATTGATGATTATTCATCGGCTTTTCATTTTTATTTAAATCAAGGTGAAGTTTATTTGAAAACTTCTCATGGTTTATATATTAATTATTGGGATGGTACAACACATTATACATTATATTTAATAATGTTATATTGTATGTTAAAACAAAAAACTGAAACAAAATTCTTTCGTTTTCTATCATTATTTTGGTGTGGTTCTATTATTAATTCATTAATTGTATTGCTTGGTGGTGCTGCTCTTGGTCAATATGGAACACATATAAAACCATCATATTTATTAAACATACCTTATACAGTTTGTCCAATCATATTCATGGTACGACAATTTAATTTACGTTCTAATTTTATTCAACAAGAAAGAAAAAAAATTAAAAAATCCAACATTCTTAAATCATTAATTTTTCGTCCACTCGATATATTTTTCATTGTTTATATGTTATTTGCTATAATATTTGCAATTTTTCGTGCGTTACACGCTTTGAAAGTTCCAATGACGTCTAAAAGTATTTATTTTGACTATGAACCTTATATATTAAATGCATCAGGATTTCCATTGATTCAACTTTTAACATATGCATTTTATTTCGTACCATATTATTGTTCAGCTATCAATGCATTAATATTCTATCATAAACAACCATCAAAATTTCAATGGTTACCAGATTGGACTATGGTACATGCTGGTGCTGCTGCTCAAGCACAATTTTCTTATTTATTTTCTTCCTTACATAACCCACCATTATTTCCTGACTCATCATGGGCACCAATTCCATCTCAATATTGGTTTACTAGTGTTAGTCTTAATGCTATTTTAGCAATTGTACCACAACTATTTGCTTTTCGTATTTGTGTTGGAAATAGAGATAAGGATTTTTATTGAAATGTAGAATAGACTAAATATATTAATGAATAAAATTATCACAGAAAAATTGTATTGATATTGAATAATATTACAAAAGAATCGTTAATAAAATTTTACAAAAACATTAATATTAAGGTTTAGGAGGTTTTAGAATATTCTTAACACTTCGTGGAAATTTGAATGATAGAAATACGTTTTTGATGTTTGCATATATAAAAATATATATTCAAGATGTCAATGGTAACATATAGAGATGCATTGATTTTTGTTACAGTTGTCATATGATCAACATAAAAAGCGTGAATTGATCAAATTATAACTTAGGAAAATTATCAATATTAATGTTTATGAGTTTATCGAAATATTTTAATTGCTGCTGTAGATATAATGGATATTTCCAACAGTCTTATTTGCCATTTAATGCAATACTTAGAATAATAATTCTGTTTAATGAAGAAAAACAAAAATGAAAAAATCACGAGCAAATAATAACAAAGTAAATAAAAAACAGGACACCCCTAAAAAAAAAATATTATTTTCAAACGACAATTTTTTTTTTTCGTTCTTGCTAATATAAAATGCTGTTTTTGATCTAATAAAAGAGCACATTTTTCGATTGTAAGAAGAAACTTTCGAATGAAATCTAAATATATCTGTGACGTCAAAATGACAAGATAAGTAATATGACTTTTGAAAGAATTACATTCATAAAATCATGAATACTTTATAATGAAAAATCTACAAAATAAATATTCAGTAATTTTTTCTTTTGAATTATTGCTTCTTGAATTTTGACTGCTGTTCTTTTAATCTTTATTTTTTTTTCCAACAAAAATACATTTACTTCAAAATTAACTTGATTCTTTTTTAATGTAGATAAAATCTTCGCTCATTTATCTTTTAGTTTAGATTTGTCATTACAACTATTATCTATTAGATCAAAAGACAACAGTACCTAATTAATGATTTTTTTTTTTTATTAAAAATTATTCGAGTAAGGATTTAAATTATCGTCGTCGTTATTCTCTGCATGACAGCTAATGGTAAACGTTTCTTTACCAAAATGTAGTGTGAATGAAACCAGTGATAGTACGTGCCTTTGTGGGAGGTCTGTACTTCGACCCGATTGTTCAGCCCCGTCTGAAGTTCCTCTCAATAATTTCCTTAAAAAAAATCAAATCCTATGAAAACTTGATACAATCCATAGTAGATAGCGGTATGTATTTTCATTAAAACGTAGTGCTCAGCAGTTCCTGCATGTCTCTAAGTGTCTACAAGTTGTACCAACTTTTCATAGAATTTCGATTTTTTAGGAAAGTTAACGAGAGGAACTTGAGCCTAAATTTATGTGGTCCGCCTTCATGATCAACACTTTGTTTTGACCGTCGTACAAATACTAATGTTAACTACTGTGTGTCTGGCATTCTATACTCGATATCGAAGCCATACAACAGTGGCACTTATTATTATGCGTCAGCTACTTATGTGTTCATCATTAGCTCGTGTCATTCAGCACAAATCATACTTTTATCAATCAGGTAACGACATTCTCTACATTAAAGGTTAATAGTCACAAAATAGTCAATGTTATTAAATTGATAGGTCAAAAACGTCTTTATTGTAATGCAAGTTAGTTTTGATCAAATTTGTCCTCAGACACATTGTCGAAATTTCTTCTTACAGATCTTTTTCAAACACAATAATTAAACGTAAGGTAGAGAATTCTTATAACAGTGTGAGTAACATGATGGCTGAAGATGTAGAAAACGTTGAGTGACAAAAAAAACTGTCAACAACTTTTTGTTTGATCAATTTTCAGCGAAGAGTATAAGATCATTCTATGAAGTATTTTTTTAAGAAACATATTTCTTCGTATGAATTAATCATTGTAGATGTGTTTTTTTTTCTAGAAAGTATGCATTAATTCTTTATGCTATGATTGCTACGAATGAGACAATGCCGAGAAATTAAAACTTTTAAACGTTACATACATTTCAAAATTTCTACGTTTAAAAGATTTATTTGTATAGACATGAATACGAGAACAATGATATGAAATAAAAAGTATGGAGATCTAAATACTTTCAAACACGAAAATGAACCGTTTGGGTTTCAGTGATACAGTTGTTTTAGAGAATACATCCTATTCCGCGATGTTGAACATCACGGAATCAGTTCCGGGGCGGAACTGATTCCGTCCAATTCCGGGAGCTCGATTATGATTCTACAGAACAGACCCCATCGATATCGATCGAATTCCTTCTGATTCCAGAATTCCTTCCAATTCCAGGAATTCCTTCCAATTCCGGAATTCCTTGTAATTCCGGAATTCCTTCCAATTCCAGAATTCCTTCCAATTCCCACTAATTCCCTCTCCACTCAATTCCCGGAATTCCGCAACGGAATTACTTCTCGCACTCGCCCACACTCATGGTGCTGTGGCTGAGGATTTATCCTTATGATAAGTTAGTAATTCCGGTACGGAATTACGGGAATTGAGTCGAGACGGAATTGCTGGGAATTTGAAGGAATTCCTTGGGATTCCGGCAATTCCTTCCGATTCCAGGAATTCCTTCCAATTCCGGAATTCCTTGTAATTCCGGGAATTCCTCTCAATTCCTACTAATTCCGTCTCCACTCAATTTCCGGAATTCGTGGATCTCGATTGATGTCGAATAGGTCTCTTTTGCTGAATGATGACGGAGTTCCCGGAATTGGGTGCAACTGATTCCGGAGACGGAACTGATTCCGCTATGTTCAACATCGCGGAATAGGATGACCGCTCTTGTTTTAACAGAAAATATATTAAAATTTTATTCTCAGAATAATAGAACAATATCAATTATCAGTAGATAGAATTCTAGTAGTCATAAGAGGTCTTGTTACCAAGTAGAAACTACGTAAAGTTTAATTCTTTCGTCTGATGTTTTGACTACAAATAGAGCTCGGTAAATCTTAATTATAGGTAGTAAATTAAGGTCGGTAGGTCTTAATGTAAAGTATTTACGATGAAAACACTGGTTTTCCAGTATTTAAATGTGTCAGACTCTATTTTTTTAATTAACAGATAAAGACTGGCATGTCTATACTGTGTCACAAATAATGAATTTCAATCCGCTATTATTTTAAGGTATGTGGAAGCCTCTGTTGTTGAGAACGGTCTCAACATGAATCTCATTTCCATCGATGGCTGCGATCGTCAAATTTTGAAGAAAAAATCGATTAGAGCAGAGCACTCACTAGAAAAAATTTCAAGATAAACCATTAAAACCAGTCGGAGATATCGGTCATTTTTGGACGATTTCTGGCAACCGTCATGTGTAGAGATAACCTAGAGCATACTTCATAAGTTAGATTTGTTTTCTATTTTGACCTTCTCGTTTCTTCGTATGAAAACAGATCAAGTTCTGATTAGTCGTTACGATCAGAGTTCAATGTACTTTAGTTGTAATCAAACTATGAGATTTAAGGATTCAAGTTTCGATACTTTTTGTCACACGTATAATATCCATATAGATAAATAGAAAAATATTAGTTATTTGTTTAAATGATGTGTAAATATTTGAAGTTTTTAAAATATACATATGCTATTCTATTTGAAATTTCAGCATCTATTATCTTGGTAGTTCTTCGACTAGTAACTTGCTGGAGTGCAATTAAAGCATTCATACTTGTCTATTATCATAGTTAACATTTTCTACTTATTTTTAATTATAAATTCGAAATCTTAGACTTCAGACTCGAATCAGTTCGTGTTCGAGCTCTAGTTTATAATATCTATCTATTCACAAAACAAATATATACATTATTAGAGAGCTGCGAATTCACATGTTTGTGGGTTTGGATGCAGCTTTTTGCCCAAATGTAAACGAACTCGCAGCTCTTTATTCATCTCACAGCCATCAACGTGAACATCTCTACCAAAAACATGTTGCACGAAATCATAAGATAGGAAGTCACATGATAATATCATCGGCGAGTGTCATAGACTCCGACACGAGAATGAGTAAATCTACGAGTCTGTCCTCACTTTCAGACGATAAAAGAATGACGCGAATGTTGTTTTGTATTTCTGTGAATGTGAAGAGAAAGATCTACTGAATCTTTTATAGCTAATCATTAGAGATAAGAATAGCAAAAAAACCTCTTTTGATATCAAAAATACTTTATTCACTTCGATATATTTCATTTTCTTCATATGAAAAGTAACTTGTTTTGAAACGATAAACGTATTCTTCAACATTACAAAGTAAGATATCAAACGCGAATAATTCTATATCGATTTAATTCGACAGATGAACTTCTATGTTGTAATGATGCAAATGAATTAAGGTTTTTTTTTTTCTTTAATAAGCGAAAACAAAATTTTTCTTTTTGGCGTATTAACATCTCGTATTCTCGTTGGGTTTTACGCGAATGTTGGATTAGTTCATCATTAATTGTGACTAAATCATGAATAAATAATTTTCGTTCAAAAGTACTAGAAAAACAAGGAATAATAAACAAAATTCTTTATAGATGCTGTAACGTCCTTTTCTAAGTCAGTTTTCCCTTGTCTCAAACTTAAAAAAAAATTAAAATACTCACCTCTGAGATGTACAGGATAATTTCAGAAGAACTAAATTGGGTTAAAAAAAGCCTATCACAATATACAAATAGATCGAACCAAATTTATCTAGAGTCCTATTCCATATAAAGCTTTTCTAAAATATAACTACATGTAAGCGTGTATTATTTTTGTATGGAATCTTTGAAAAAAATACTATAAAATCTGATGATATATACAAGTTTATAGGAATTTTACAGTGAGATTCTATATAAGACTATTATACCTAGTAAATAATTACATAATACACACTGTGCTTTGTCTTTCATAAAGTATAATGTTATTCTTCTCGTATGAAGTAAACATGCATTTTTGTTCTAGATAATCAATTCCACATTTTTATAGAATCCTCTAAAGATGTTTCGCCGATTTATGGAAAAATTAACGGGTATGGAATGCTAGTAGGATTTTTTTTCGGGTAAATTTCATTGAAACGAAACTAACTCGATATATTTCAGAGTCGGCGGAAAGCGCTGAAGAAGAATGTTGTCTGATACGATGGTCGGATAAAAAAAGTTTTAAAATCGTTCCTCAAAAAAACATTAAAGCTCCACCGGCATCGATTACTGTCTACGAAACATATACTGTCGATATCGATGGACACCAACGAAAAGGAACTGTCATCTTGAAAGGTATATCTACTTGAAAATGCTATAAAATATCAAAATGAAAATTCATTTAGGGACGAAACGAGAGTGTGAAAAACTACTGCTTAATGTGGAACCAACAACAACTACAATTGAACCAACAAAAAGTAATGATTTTTTTTTAAATAATAATTTTATTTCTGCGCATTGATAATACTGATTTTGTTTAGAAACTGAACAATCAAAAATGTCAAACAGTCAACAATTTCAAACTGCCTCCTCATCTGCATCCGATATTCTAGCCGATGTAAAAGAAGAATCAAGTAAGAATTTATCAAATAGAATAACCTGTAAAAATAGTAATTCACTATGGAGCATTTTTATTCCCTGTGTACCCCAATAATCACATATATTTACTGTATTGCAACTTATAAAAATTTCATTTTAAGATTAAGCAATATCAATATTAAACATCTTTTTTTTCTAAGACACTGGAGATGAAATAAATATAATTATTAAATTTTATGATTTAGATAGTAATAGTAATAATGAACAGGACGAAGCGGCCATTCGAAATGCTGTGCTTATGAAACTTTTACAATTAGTTATTGCAGGTGGTTCTGCTAATGATGACGATAATGGTGAAGCACATAAAGTACGTTGTGTGGCATGTGGTACCAATCCTATTAGAAGCGACCGATACAAATGCTTGAATTGTGAAAAGTTAAGTTTATGTGCTCATTGTTTTGAACGTCGCAGAGAATCTGACACTCACAAAAGTGGACATGCATTTGTTCATTTCAAATCACCTGGTGAATTATTTGGACGATCTGTAACAGATGACGATGTAACATTAACTAAACTTAAAGAATTTTATGGTAATGATGTACATGAATCAATATCTTGTGATGGATGTAAATCTCAATCTATCAAAGGTTTACGATTTAAATGTGATACATGTCCAAATTATGATTTATGTCAGCAATGTTTGGAGAAAAAAGTTACTACTCAAACACATACGTCCAGTCATCCGCTTATTGTCATACCACGTCAAGCAATTCAACAAATTTCAGTAGATGACATTGAACTTGGTGATGAATTAGGAAGTGGTGCATTTGGTACGAATTTTTCTAGAAAATACTTTATGAAATTTGTTTGACTTAATTTGTTGTTGTTGTTTTTCTTTTTCAGGTTCTGTATTCAAAGCTAAATGGATATCAAAAAAACGTTCTGTTGCATGTAAAGTGATTAATGTACCTAAAACGAAAGATGCTGAAAGGCTTGAAAAAAGCTTTTTAAAAGAAATAGCCGCTTATGCTGAACTTTCAGGTGCATATATTCTTAAAACATATGGTTTTACAGCATCCAAACAGGGACAAGGCAAAAGATATATGATTGTTATGGAATATATGTCACGTGGAAGTCTTTCTAATCTTATTCAAGAAAAAGGAGATAAAATATCTTTACGACGAAAACTTGATATGGCAATGAATATGGCTAGTGGAATGCGAAAGATACATGAACATCGAATGATTCATAGAGATATTCGACCTGATAATATTCTTGTCAATGAAAATTATGTTGCTAAAATTGGTGATATGGGTATTGCACGTTTTACTGATCCTTTAAATCAACATACACAAGTTGGCTGTGCACCATATATGCCACCGGAATTCTATGCTGGTAGTTATGATCAAAAACTCGATATTTTCACATTTGGCTTAACATTGAATGAACTTTTTACTTCAAAAAAACACACATTTCAGATGTTAGCTAGTAAAAAAATCGCTTTTCAAGAGGAAAGTCCTATATTTGCTGACTTAATTGCTCGATGTACTGCTGATGATCCAAAACGACGTCCGACAGCAATAGAAATTGAAAAAACTCTTGACTTATATGTTACTGGTTTCAATGAAATTGTATTTAAGAAACATCTAAGTTATATAAATTTGTCTACTGAAGACAAAAATGAAATATTTGTCGCTTTCTATCAAAAATTTCATCCACCAGCAACTGAATTTATTCGCAAGAAATTTCCATCGGAATTTCTCGATAATCCAGAAGATATACCCGGTGTTAAAGTTGATAAAGATGCTGGAAATACAATTCGCATTGAATGTCCCATGCAATAATTCTTTTAGAGTTATTCATGTACTTTGACAATGTTCAATTTCTATTGTTCGGACAATAAATTCATTTTCTACATATTATCAATTCTAATATTTTCAGATTTGTTTTTCTTGTGTTCTTCTAAAAATTGAATTTAAGATTTTCATTATAATTTAGAGAAACATTTTTAATTGTTATAAATGTGCGTCACTTTCTAGATATTTCAATTATATAGTTATGAGTTCGATTTCACTTGAAAATAAACAATGTGTGTTGTGCAACAAAATTGGTGGTGTATTGACTTGTGCCGGATGTGAACAAGCTTTCTGTGGTAAACATGTCATTGAACATCGACAACAACTTAATATTGAATTAGAAAATCTTATGCAAGAACATGATTTAATTCAACAAGATATAGGACTATCAATAGATAATGATTTATTATTGAAAGAAATAGATAAATGGGAAAAAGAATCCATTACAAAAATTCAAGTAGCAGCTGAAAAAGCTCGAACTAATTTAAAACAAATTCTTGAAAGTTCAAATAATCAAATTTTAAATAAATGTCGAAATGTTGCATCTAAACTTCTATCTGCACGAGAAGCTGAAAATTTCTCAGAAATTGATTTAAGACGATGGACAACACAATTAAATGAACTTAAATCACAGATAAAATCATTATCCATGATTCATACGGTAGAAGATAAGAACTCCGCTGTTTATTTCATTGAGATTAAACAAAGTAACACTGTAAATACACACATAAAAAACGAAGAATTATTATCAACAAAATTATCATCAACATCTAGAAGAATTGAAGAAAGATTTACTGAAGGAAATGGTTTAGCAACAATCGAAGATAATGGCCTTCGTATCAAACATATTGATAATGATCATAAATTTATTTATTTTCGTGGTCTAAAATCTTATACTGATGGTTGTCATATATTGAAATTGAAATTTGAACAAAGTGCAGGTGCTTATAATGCTTTTATTGGTATTTGTTCATCTAATATTAATTTACGACAGATTATGTATCATTTAACTGTTGTTGTCGGTTGGTTCAATAATATGGAAGTATGGCAGCATGGAAGATCTATTAAAAATACGAAACCTGTAGGATCGAAAAATGATGAAATAAAAACGAATGATATAGTTCAACTGAAAATTGATTGTGAAAACAAACAAATTGAATTATTCCATGAACGAACAAACAAAAAACATACTGTTATTGTTGATTCGAATCAAGCTCCTCTTCCATGGAATATTCTATTAGGATTACGTCGAAAGAATGATTGCGTTGAGATTTTACAGAATAATTAGATTATGACAATTGTATACAATCGTTGATGAAATCGTCATCTATCGCAAGAAAGATCTGTTGAAACTTAAGAACATATACACATGTTTATGGGATTGCTTTTATAATGAAAGAAAACTGTAGAAAATAATCATCAAGTATCACATAGTAATTTGTTATTTTCCAATGCAACGATTTTCTGTTTTAATTTCGTTAATTATTATTTTTTTGCTTACTTTATTCGTCATAGATTTTTGGGAAGTTTTGTGGACTGATAAATTGTTTGAAAATCAATTTGTAATCAATATGAATTGATCATTGTAGTGAAATGTTAATTTATATTGATGATTAAAGCAAATAAATAAATCATATGAAGAAAAGTAATTGAAATGATTCATTATAAAAACGACTGACAACACACGTCTTCTGTCTCTCGATTCTATCAATTAGCTTGCAAACGACTAAGAATTATTTTCTTTGTTATCAATAGAAGACAAGAACAGAAAAAAGCAAGTACATAGAGAACTGGTAACATTCCTCCAATAGTCTATAACAAACGTTAGAAAACATCATAATAATGTTCCATAGTAAGCTTGATTTACTTTTGAATAACTTCTTTGTATCCATTGATATCTGTCAAACTGATGACTGTATCGAACATTTGGCGGATTTTATGAAATGGATATTACGATGATGTGATATAATGACGAGCGTTGAAAGACACACTAGATATCACAGTATTAGGTAGAGGCAAGAGAGAAAACATTTTACTTGTCGTAATTCGTCAGATCCATTCTAAACGGTCTGTTAATGCTATTTAATGATCGCAACAATGTTCAAAAAGCATTAGTTAAGACATTTTCAATAAAGACTATTATGAGGCATCGATGGTATCAAATCCATCATGTTATTGCAAATCACATATAAAAAGTGTTGTTATTAAATTTCTAAAAGAAGACAGAATTTGAAGATATGATCTATAAGACACATTCAACTGGTTTTGCTTCATTTGAGCTTCTGTTATTCATCTATTTTAAAGGATAAATTGAATATCTACCTAGATTCAATAAATTTAACTAAGTAACAGCTGAGCAATCAATTTCACAAATATCCATTAAATACAAAAAGATTATTCAAAAGTAAATCGAGCTTCCTATATGGAACATTGCTATCATGTCTTCTAACGTTTTGCTGTAGACAAATAAATATAATATGCTTCGTTTGGAAGAAATATTACTATTGTAGTTCTCAGAATTATTTGAACATCCTATGAATTTTAGTGAGTAATAAGTGGTTAGTTTAATTAGCCTGCAGTACCTATAAGTAAGCGATTTAATATACTTAAGTCATGTAACAATCACTATTGAATAATCGATTTGTTTATTTTTTAGGAATTGGTAAGTATTGATATTTACGTCTTATTAATTAGTAATAATTAACTGATCATTGCAATGTGTATGCATCCTAGTCGTTCCATTGAGTTTCAATAATTAATCATTTCTTTTTTATCTTCACAAGATAGGAACATAGTTCATCATTTGCCTAGCTTTGAAATAGTTTCTCTTTTGTTCTGTTCTTTCTTTTTCATATATTCATTAGTGTTCCATCTCATTTAAAGAGTAATTACTTAGGTTAGCTATCGAGTTAAGTTTTAGCCCATAGTTATAATCCATGTATAATTCAGTATAAGTAATGCATATCTATATTGTATGTATGAGAATAAACATACTCAACTCAGATAAACTTCTTTTCTGAGTAATATTTTTCGAAAGGATTATAATGAATAAGGCATTTAGTGTATCGTTCACAATAGTAAGCATTTTCAAAAAACTCCTGATATTGATCAACCTACAGTAATCAATATATGTAAGATAGACATAATATAGAGATCAGAATCACTCATCAAATGAAGAATTATAAATAGTAGTATTCCACAACTGTTCTTCACTTAGAGCATTTAATGAAGAAAGTTCGCTACGAGTACCTTTATAACAATAAAAATAACGTTAAGTCTTCAATAGATAAACAAACTACTGAAAAACCTTTCGATAAATAGAAAAGCTTATAGTCACACTCTTGTATAGATGACGCTGACATTTCAAGAATAGACCGGAAGCTTGCAACAGTTTCTGCTTCATCTAGAATATTGCTGTTTTGCTTTTCAATAATTCCGCTTAAAATTTTGATTTGATGCACTGATTAAAAAAAAGATAAATTTAGTGCTATGAATCGAGTAGAACATAGTTCGAATTGTAGTTTTTTTTAAGTATTAGAAACTTCTTATATGATTGCTCGTTCCACATTCTCTCCAGCCAATCTTTGGATTAATCCGAATTTATACATATTTACTCATCCAAAAATCTAGTTCATCAGTTATTTTAAATATGAAACTTGAATTTCTTAGCATACAAAGAATAGACATTATATGTTCTAATTACACAATATTTTTGTAAATGCCATTTGAGACAGAAATACATATTGATATTTTACAAAAGAAAAGAATATTTAAAGTAAAAAGACCGATAGAGTAGATTAGGATAGATTTCGATTTTCGAAAGAATTAGTAGAAAAAGCTTTATCATATGTGAAAGCAATCTTGTTGCAATAGTTACTATAAATCTTCTTGGAGTAACTTCAGGTTTCTCCAAAATTCTTACTCAAAAATATTTTTTTTGTATCACTTCACTACTGATTGCACTTTGTAAACTGATTTTCTTTCTTATAATCAGTAACGCCATCAAGGTTTTATTTCTATGGACAGCCTATGAAAGTTCTCATTAAAGTAATTACTATTAGTACAGTTACACAAATTCAGCCTTTTTCCTAATTCCATAATAATATTTCGCAGCGTTTCTTCTTAAACTGTTCACCAAAACTAATTCCTAAAACATAACTGTTTGAGATTTCAACAATTTAAAAATCAGTATTAATCTAGAAAGCGAAGTGATTAAAAGACAAACATTGCGAACTATTTTAATTGAATCAAAAGAAATGGTGAATTTTTGTATCTTACTAGGAAAGTTTCCTAAGTGATCAATCGCTTTTTCAAAGAAATATACGTGACTGTATGCAGTTCCTTGCACTGATTCTGAATATCAGGATCGTAGCGACCCATAGGTCTTTTTAAAATGTACGTCATTATTTGGAACCCCCTTCTGATAAGGATCGATCTTTTAATCAGTCCCCTATGTACCACTAGACAATATATTCACAGGACTACTTTTTTTTTTATAGACGCTTCAATCTTAAGGTTCAAATGGTGAAATTGATCATAAGAGAGAAGAAGATAAAATATGCAAAAATGATCTTTTGGGATTAATATTTTCCACATAATAAAAGAATAAAGAAATAATTTTATCTTATGCATTGTACTAAATAATCTCGCTCAATCTGCTGCTTGTTTTAGAAATATGTCCTCACAGTGCTAATGTTTTGTATTTTGAGAAATTCCCATACATGTTTTCTATTTCTCTCATTGTGATATATTTTGTTGCATATAGAACAATTACGATTGACTTGTGACTATAAGATGATGAAACGAAAAGAAATGTCAGATGACTGTTTGTAGTCAATGTACGAATTACTTTGCTGCTTTACAGCTTAGTATTTGAAACTTAAGATTGAAGTGTCTATAAAAACAAAAGTATTCCTGTGCACATATTATCTAGTGGTACATAGTAGGCTGATTAAACGATTCAATTGTGTGAGAAAGACTCTTATCAGAAGGGGCTCAGAGTAATGACACAGGATCTAAAAAGAGCTAAGCGCCGCTAAGACTCTGATATTGGGAATCAGCGCAGTGAACTGCATACAGTCATGTATGTGCCTACGAAAAAGCGATTGATCGCTTGGAGGAACTTTCCTCGTTAGCTAAAGGTAATCATGTTGGATACGCCGTACATTTGTCAATTCACTGTTTAAACAAAATACTTATAAATTGTTACCAGACGTTTTCATCAAAAATCAGAAAATCGTTAAAAATGTTTGATTAGTCATCAAAAACACGTCACAAAAAATTAATCTTAAAGTGTTTCAACGAGTTTTGGGCGACCAATCAAACATTCTTAACAGTTTACATATTGAAATGTTTTAACACCGTTTTGGCCCTTAACATGTCTGTGTAGAAATGTTGCCATATTTTCTTGAATACAATATAGTATATAAAAGAAGAAGATAAATAAATAGTAGATGTTGTGAATACTTTTTCTAATTAAACAACTTCTATTATTATTTTATGGATTGTTTGGTATTAACCTGTCAAGAAACTACATAGTACAGAATCTTTGAAATATCATCATTCATTTAACTGGATCACCGATACTTCAGATGTTAATTTGCACTACATTAAGAATGTGACTATGCCACGATACCCGTACTAAACAAAGCTACTGTGAACAGATTTTACACATATGAAGCGTTAATTGCGATCAGATACATAGAAGAAACATATCCTTGGATTATCCAATTCCCATCATAGCATCAGAGACATGTGATACGAATCAAGAGGTTTATTTGCATTTTTTCTTTATTAGCTTTATATTTTCGTCATTTTACAAGATAGAAAAAAAATTTCTACACAAACAATATGATATAAATCTGAGATCTCGATAGACTGGTGTGTGGATAAAAGCGTCAGTGCTTCTGTTCTTGAGCATACTGTTTCTAGAAACGGAACGCAAAACTGACACCTACGGGTTGTGGGTGTGAGTGCCAGCGTGGACAGAAGGAAACCATGTATTTACACATCTATAACCACAGCCACACCCCCACACAGGCATCCCGTACACTACATCAGTCCCTACACTCGCACTCGCACTCACACCTATACCCACACCCACACCCCACACACCCACACCCCATATTTCATGGAATTATTCTGAATATTCGCATCACAGAAAAAAAAAATTAGAATCACATGAATAATTTTGATCAACTCAAGCAGAATTATGTTTCAAGTATTTCTTTTTCTTTTTTATGGAAATATGATTTTCAATATTAAACACCGTATTAATCGGTTACATTTTTTTTAATGAATTGCATAGCAAAATTTTTATATTTCTTTACACTTATTAATAATCTAGAAAGAGAAAAAAAAGGAAATTTTAGGTTACTTATTTTTAACTTTCAGTTTCAGTGTCGTTGGGCAACATATATAAATACTTTTCACCTTCAATGTTATTCTCTAGTTTCTTCCAACAAAATATTTATATTGATTTCAAAATCACCAATATTTTTTTTAGAAAAATGTTCTGCCATACGATTGCTATTCTACCAATTCTCTGTTATATCCTTCCAGTGATAAATGGCGAAGAAGCTTGTTCCAGTAACTTGTGTAATGGCGAAGGTAAACAGAAATGTTGTTCTGCTGGGCTTGTGGGATCGGAATATAAAGTTCATTGTTGTCCCGAAGGAAAAGTGTGTTGCGGAGACAATTGTTGCGATGTTTGTTGCGACGGTAATGTCTGTGGTGCAGCTGGTTCAAATTGTTGTGGCGGTGGACGAATTTGTCCAGCAGGTGCAGGTTGTTGTGGAGATGGTTGTTGTGCAAGAAAATGCTGTGGTGGCGTAAGATGTATAAACTGGGGAACTTCATGTAAAGGGTAAGTTGAAAGACTTGAGAAAAGCTAGTGATAAGAAACTTCGTAGCACTAGAATGTAACTTATCAAATTACCGCTGATCCATAGAGTAACTGCTTTATCAAGCTAGGAGACCTTGTTGCAAGTTTTTATATGCCCAAGAACCGTAGTGAAAAAAATTGACAATGTGAAGAATGAAGAGAAAAAAATCACATCTAACATCTAGTTTCTAGTTTTCCAAGATTGATGTGACGCAAAGCTTCAATTTCTTCATTTCTTTGGTCTTAGCTCACATCTTTTTGTTTTTTGACGTTCAATTAGATGTTTATTTGGCGATGATTTTGTTTTGCTACAAGACGGCTCTAAAAAACAAATGAAATATCTACGTAGTGGTGACAAAGTCTATTCTATTGACAAGCAAGGTCAATTTGTCAAAGATGAAATCATTATGATTTTACATGGAGGACTAAAGACAGAAGGTAATTCATTTTTTACACTACAGCTGAATATGAAAAACAAACAATCTTCTCATTTAGCTCCATTCTATACCATCACAACTTCCTTCAACCAAACGATTAGTCTGACTGGTGATCATTTAATCATGACCTATAATCTGCGTGAAAAACGTTCAATCATGGTTGCTGCAAATGAATTGAAAGTCAATGATTACCTCTTGATGGCTGAAACCAATTCTCAGAATCCGAGTCCTGTACTTATCACATCAATTGAACTCCTTTACAAAACTGGTTTCATCACTCCCATGACATACACAGGCACATTATTGGTCAATGGCATTGTAGCTTCATGCTACGTGAAACATCATAATACATACAATGAAATGCACACAATATTTTATCCATTTCGATTGTACTATTATCTGATGAAAGATATCTTTCGTCTGACTGATGAACCATTTTCGATTGGCATGCAGGTGAACAGTCTTGTCGAAAAAGATGAATTTTATGGACATGCACTCGTTAGAAGTATACATCAATCAAAAGCGATGATAAAATATATTGTTCAAGACTTAATATTCCATACATTTTTGAATATCTGAGAAAAAACAAGTGTTAGATTTTAGTAGGACACGAAATTTTTGAAACAATTTTTTCCCTTGGATTATCTCTTTTTTTTACTTTTCATCAAAATAAATCTATTTAGCCACAAGTAGCGTGTATCGAACATCGATACACTTGATCCTAGATTGACAGAATTCAAATATCTATTAGTATATACACGCCTCTATGTATGAACATGCTTAACGAAAGGTGCTGGATAAATGTAAGAGATAACTCAACATGTAACAACGAGATGTTCCACAAAACCAATATTTTCGTACATAAAACTTGATTTGTATTTTTATAAAGAAAATCGATTTCTAATATGTCATATTCTTTCATAATCTTCGTGAAGTTTATTTTCTATTTTAAATTATGATTAAAGACAATGAATGAATCAGTATTTTATCGTTTATAGATATGCGTTGAATTACTGTACTTCTATCAATAATATGAGGTCACAGATAGTAGCACAGTGGTTTCAGCGATTTTATAGTCGTAGTTTTAATATTTTGAATAAAACACTTCAAATCGAAAATGTTTCTATTTCTCGTCATCAATATTATTGCATGTATTATTCATGTATGAAGTTAACCGTATGTTACATATATGTAGATTGATTAAGATGAAATAGAATGTATACAGTTATTTACACATACTTATGTTAGCTCTATTTCCATTTAAAAAATTATTATTATGGCAATATTCGACAAACGAGATTTTAGTTCGTCCTGATTTCATATTCCGTCTGGTTCTCTAATTCTTAATAGTTATTGCATTATATCTTCATTCATGCAAAGTTAAACAAATGTTTACAGCAATCATTAGTTTAACTACAACGAGAAATCGTTGTATATTGCCAGTTCTACATAACTTTGTATTATGGTCGTATTTCTCGGTATCATAGACAGAGGAATCCGATTGTTTATAGACTTCGTATTTGAAGGCAACATACAATTTCACCTCTACTTGATAGGTTTTCGTAAACGGTCGCATACAGTGCAATATCAAATATGTAGAGTTGCTTCATAGTGTACATGGATTTACTATTCCTCATATTTAAATACAACTACTATGTCCATATAAATTCTAATAACTAGGAGCCGACTATCATTTTGCACAGTCACTCATGTCAAAACTCGTAGCTATGGTCATTTATATCATAGTTACGGTTATTTATGCCACAGAAATGGTCATTTACACCATCCATATGGTTACTTTCATCAAGAATTACAGACAGACACAGGTGAATTTCCATTTCTAGACTCTATTCTTTCACCCTAGAGAAAAAAAGAATGGTTGAGTTAGGCCGTAAACGAAGAAAGTAGAGTACGAATTGTGCAGTGATGGGAAAGTCAAGTCATTTTTGACTTGATTTGTCTTCAGCTAACCTCCAAAAACGCTCTCCATGACTTGACCTGTTTTTGACTTGAAATAGCTATAACTAGCATGTTTCTGGAATAGTGTTTTTTTTTGGAAGGTGAAAAATGTGGCATTTTCTATATTAGAAGATGACTAAAACTAGTGATCAAAGTAAAAAGTTTTCTTGATTATCATTCCGAATTCTGCTAATTATGTTGAATTCATCAGTTTTCAACTCTGCTTACGAAAAGTAACCGGACATTTGCTCAGAAGCAAAAATGTTTAAATGTAACAAAATAATGCCTTTTTTTTTAGTTTATGTAAACATAATTTAAGATTACCAATTGATTTGAATGACTGATATCATTCAGCAATAAAAAAAGAAGAAATCAGGAATACTGGATAATTATAAGTAATAAAAAAAAGCTGTCACTAAGGTAGCCGTAACATTCCTCAGCCTTCATTATTGCAATACGGTTGATAAGGTCCTGCTTCCGAATAAGCTGGACAATTATTTTCAGCCAATGACGGACATGTGCAATGAGTAGCTAAATCAGTGTTGATCTTATTAGCACAAAACTCAAGACAACGTGTACATAACTGAACTCGATGAACGCTATACAGTGCCAATAATCCACACTGATTATTTATAATCTCTGAACAACCACTTCTAATCCAGTTACCAACAAGGTCGTAATCTAAAGAAAGTGCAGCAAAAAATGACTTAGATGATATGTCCTAAGAAACAAATCTAAATCTACTTTTGAATGAAGTTTGATTTCCACCAATACCATACTGTCGTAAAGCTACAACACGTAGATCGCCTGTAATCAAATTTCTTTCATATGAAATTGGTACTTCCGTAATCATATTAGTAGGAGAATTTGATTGTAATGTACAGGCAGTCATCTTGGTTGTCAATGTACAAGAGGAGGCTAAAAGTTCTTCTAGTGTTTGACCCGAACCACAAGTGTTAATATTTTGAAGAAGGACAGGAATGGGAGCTGTTGGATTTGATATGATTGGAGAAAATGTTAAATTAGCCATCTGAGTTACTCTCCACAAGATCAAATTAGTTGGAATACGGCTGAGTTTTCGCCTTTCAAACACTTTATTTACTTGTTCTTGTCGATCTACGTTGGCATTATTAATTCGTCGAATGATTGCCCCTTGTAAATTCTTTTTCACAGATGGATCTGTTATAATATCAGCCCACGAAACATAACGTTTAACAGAAATCATTGCAGGAGCATAAGCCAATGTATGAAACCACTCATTTGTATCTTGAATCAGATCAACATTTCCACCTATACGATGATCACTAAATGTTTTCCGCCATTTATGATAATCTTCACTGATACACGGACGCTTCGAGAGAAGTTCCGCTTTAAGATTCAGCCGTGCTACGCTTGAATTTAAGCATTTTTGAAATAGGACTTGTTTTTCAGTAACACCACCAACTGTTGTCTCAACAGTCACATGGGTTCCCCAAGCGTTGAAGAATGCATTGTAGAGATCCTCATCATAGGCAGCAGTTAGTGCGTTTATTGCAGTATGAGCATATGAGTTCAAAGGTAGGGAAGCAGGATTATCAATCGCTTTAACACGTAGATTATAGAGTTTACTATAGTTCTGAGCAATTGCAGTTCCTTGATCATCTAAAAAATACGTCGAATCAATATTCAAAATGTCTCGAAGATTGGAGAGAAAGCTTGTAGACCAGTCACTGTCAGCTCCTAAACGTAACCATGCGTCGATGAATTCAGTGGGGGTAGAATATGAACTAACATTGACATCGAGTGAATTATCATTCAATGGTTCAAGACTAACTTCGTTCGGCAAGATAAAGTCACGACCAGAATGTGGATCTTTCCAAAGAGAATCAGATGAAGGTGAGAGAGGATATGTGAGTTGCAAAGCTGGCAAAAGAACATTCCCAGTGCTCATGTCGATAGCCATGCCAACACCTTTTGGCAAATCTTGCTGTGACAAGAGTGATAGAGCTCTAAAGATGATCGACGAGTTAGTAAAACTGATATTCCAAGCTGGATCACCAGGGCAAAACGTTCCTCGAAATCCAACAACTGGACAGAGACTTTTTCGTGCTGCTGTCAGATCGAATGCGGAACTTATGATAGCACGTTTTCTTCGTTGAGCAGTTGGAGAACAATCTAATTTCGGCAAAGGTGGTGGATTTGGATGTGTTTGTAAACGTTGGATGTAGAGATTTGCATCTGCAGCTGCCTGTAAACGAAAGTAGTATGTTGCATTTTTCATTGCTTCTTTTTTAACACCTTTTGGAAGTAATGTATAAATCGGTAGAAGACGATAGTTAATGGGTTGTGGATAGTTTTTAAGTGTTGAAATCCAAGTATTAATAACATAGGGTTCAATTGAGGAGGCTTCACCTGGATTATTATCCATGCCACCAATCATTTTTGACATAGATGAACTATATTTTTTGTAGATTTGATCAACATTCATTGTATAACTTTCTGAATAAGTTGTATCACCAAAAAACCAATAACTTCTTCTCACTTGTTCTCTAACCCATCTTTCACTATATTTTGTAATTAAACATCCTTCAAAATAATCTTCTGCCCACAATAAACCACCCATGTCCGAACTGGCAACAAAATGTGTTCCATAGGCATCGAAGAATGCTTTCCATTTTTTGATATTTGAAATGGAGCTGTTATCAAATGTATTAGGTAGTTGATCAATAGCTTGTTGCGTTATGTCATTGAATTGTGGTGTTGGAAACGTGGCTACAGAAAGTGTGTACATTGAAATTTGTCTTCGTGTCCAAGCCATTTGATATTTATAGTCGTAAAATTGATGGTATTTCTCAATAATGTCTTTACGTTTTGATGTTGCTCCAAAACCAAGGAAGCCTTTATGATCTTCTTGTATACTGTAGATAGACATTTGAAAGAATTCATCAAGTGTTTTGAAGAATCTGCTTTCATACATTGCACTGGCATCACGTTTGTCTGAGACAAAAAAATTGGGTGGAATCGTGTAAGTTTTATCATTGTTATAGACATCAATCCATGAAGAAGTAGTATTCGTATCTGTCGATAGGTCAAAGAGGCATTGACGACTTTCAATATCACCAATGTCGAATCCACAACCCACAACATCAAGACCTGGAATTGGCCTGGCTTGATTCAAATTGATGAGAGCACGTTTCTTTCGTCTGGACTTGCTACTTAACACTTGATTTAACGTTGGGACGACTCCGTTGAGAAGGTAGTAATCAATAGTTGCCTGCAAGTGCTTTTGAACTTCATCTGGATAATCGAGGAGAAGATTGACGAGAGGAGACAGTGTGCGGTTGACAACTGCTGGTTCAGATAATGTTTGCTCCTTCCAAACATCCCACTGTCGTCTTTCATTCTGAGGTGAAATTACAACAGCTGGAATAAATTTTGTTTGCATTTCAGAATTTTGTTTGAATTCTTCAGTAAGACTTGATTCTTCTTCACCCCAATTAAAAGCACCGTTTGCTTGGGCACCTACCAAACCGTTTTTTATAACATATTGAAAGCCAATTGTGATTTCCTCTTCAACAGCTGAACGACTATATTCTTTTTCATAGCTACTAGTGATGTATGTGTAGAGATTGCCTAGCCCTCCAACAATGACTGATGAGACATAATGAGTACCAAATGTTTCTATGAGACGATTGTAATAGGCTTGATCTTTCGATGTCGTAGGTTTAGAGACGAGTTTGTCGAGAGCTGCTGTAAACAGTGGATCAAACCTATTATAGGGACAAAATTATAGCAAAGGTAAGCGAATCGGAAAAAAGCAGAGCGCTGGTAGAATCATATATCGACCGATATTAATGCACATATACAGCAGACAGATATTTTAGAAATAAAAGCTAAACAAAGAGGGTGCACTCTTTTTCCAATCAGTTTCGAAAAACCTACTTTAGTAAATATGTTGGACCCAGATGAACATTGTAAATTCCCCACCAATCTGATGATATTCCAACCGATCCCTCTTGCTTGGTAATTTTTTCATAGGCTTGTGATAAAGTACGATGATATCCAAAAGAAATATCAATTCTACCCGCTTCTAACGGTATAGGAATACCAATTTTAAAGGAGTATGATTGAAAGTAACTATCAATTAAATGTTTTAAGTAGCAAAATTTGGAAAAGAAAGAAAGTAAATGAAATTCTTACTTATGTCGAAATTCTTGATACGTTTTGCTAATTGTTTCAATAGCAATTTTTGTTTTCATGTTGATTGTTGTGGCTTGTACATAACGAGATGTTGTGTAATTATGTTGTACACTGTCAACACCAAACGAATATGTTTTACCAAGACCATCATCCAAGTTAAAAAGACGAAACTTGAGATTATCAGAGGCTGAAGGTTCTTCGTTCAGATTAATCATTTTCAGCGCGTCAAATCCTGTGGCGAGAAAATCTAACCCTGGAAGGTCTTTGGTTAGTATAGACCCCATGTGCGTCAGCAGAAACAGCAGAGAGAAATAAGAGTTCATTATCTTATTCTAAAAAAGAAATGAAAGTAATAGACTCTATGCCATCACACTTAGTTCCGTTTTGACTATGCATGTTGAGTGAAATACGTTGATCATTCGCTTTTCTAAGCATGAATGATATTTTCTTTCAAGGCCTTCTGCTTCACAACTGCATTTTTATACCATATATAGTTACAAATATCACTTCCTTTTTAAAAAGAAAAATACTCCTCATTGATTGTTTTTTTAAGCGTAAGTAATATTTTTAATAGTTTATCAAGCATATATAGGTAAATATTGGGTGTGGATTGTAGCTATGTGCTACGTGTAGCTGGTGGGTGTGGGGTGTGGGTGGGTGTGGTTATATGTTTGTGAATACATGGTTTCTTTGTATTCACACTGGCACTGACACTCACAGCCCGTAGGTGCCAGTTTTGCGTTCCGTTTCTAGAAACGGTGTGCCCAAGAACTGGAACGCTGAAACTTCTACCGACACCAGACATACCAGCCAATCAAGACCTCTAGTTTGTAATAAATTGTTTGTAAAGAAGAGTTTTTTCTATCTTGTAAAATGACGAAAATATAAAGCTAAAAAGGAAAAATGTAAATAAATCTCTCGATTTACTCCATATGTCTCTAATGCTATCATGTGAATTGGATAATCCTAGGATATGTTTCTTCTATATATCTGATCATAATTAACACTCACTGTGTGTAAAATCTGTTCACAGTAGCTTTGTTTAGTACGGGTATCGTCGTATAGTCACATCCTTAATGTAGTGCAAATTAACATCTGAAGTCTTGGTGATCCAGTTTAATGGATGATGATATTTCAAAGATTCAGTAATACGTAGTTTCTTGACAGATTAATCCCAAACAATTCATAAAATAATAATAGTAGTTGTTTAATTAGAAAAATTTTTCACGACATCCACTATTTATTTATTCTCTTCTTTTATATACTATATTGTATTCAAGACAATGTGACAACATTCTCACATAAACACATTAACAGTCAATACGGCGTTTACACATTTCAATATGTAAACTGTTAAAAATGTTTGATTAATCGCCCAAAACGCGTTAAAATACTGTAAGATTAATATTATTTTAACGCATTTTTAATGTTTAAACGCTAAGAGTTATGGAAACTTTTAACGTTCTAATGTATTTTGGTAAAAAACACCTGATAACCGTTAATAAATATTGCGTTTAAAAAATGAATTAACAACTGTATCGGGTGTCCTGCAAATCCGTACACAAAAATGTTTTTGTTTTTCAATTAATTTCATCATTGATTGATCTTCATCAATTGATTTTCACGTTTGATAGGTGACACGATCAAATTTTATTCCCATAAATAACCCATAAGAGTGCTCTTCAATGTAATTAGCTTCAGCTAAGATACAAAAATTCACCACTTCTTTTGGTTCATTTAAAATATTTCGCAATATTTTTTTTTTAATCACTTCGCTTTCTAGATTAATTCTAATCTTTAAATTTTTCAAATCTCAAACAGTTATTTTTAGGAATTAGTTTTTGTACTTCCTCATCAAAAGAAATCGAACAGTGTCAAGTCAAACAGTTCGAGAAAAAAACGTTGCGAAATATTATTATGGAATCAGAAAAAAAGCTGAATTTTTTAGATTCAGCCAATTATCATTACTTCAAAGAGAACTTTCATAGGTTGTCCGCAGAAATAAAACCTTGATGGTGTGACTTATTACAAAAAACAAAATCAGTTAATAAGATATGAGTGCTGGTGTGGGTGGGTGCGTGTGATGTTAGTGTGACTGTGTGTTTATACTGAAAACATCATCTCCCACACCCACCCCCACCCATCTTGTGGAAAAGAATCCAAGGTTTCATCATTTATCTAACTCGAGATATATGAGAAATAAAAAAACCTTATAGCATTATGGGCACACGGTCTTGTAGCAAAAAAAAATGTTACTTTTTTTGTCTAATACACTTTTTACACTTAAAAATGCATTTGGTGCTTAGCATAACGATATCAAAAGATGTAGCGCGTCCCGGGCTTTCTCCCTATAAATCGTAGGTTAATAAACAAAAGAAGTATGGTAATAAAAAGCAAAAAAAAAAAACAAAGCGAAAAAATTCAATTGGACCCCACTGTACATATATACTCTACAACAACTGTTACTTTAAATATGATATGTGAGTTCTATATTTTGGTACCAATGAAACTGCTTCAACAAGCTTTTGTTAGAAGTAAATATGAAATTTAACAGCGATATGTCAAAAGCTTGTATCATGTTATTTTCTATTAGAATGTGATTACACATTTATCTTTTATCAATGTTTCTCAATTGAAGTGAAGTAGATCATGGTAAAATTGATTGTCTTAATGAATGCGTTGAGAAAAAAAAATGTTTTCAATTAGAAAAGATCTTCTACATAATGATATACAATTTTCTAATCATTATTATCAATAAGATGAAACAATAATCATATCAGCTCCATGATATATTCAACTAAAAATATTACCTAAATAAAATACATCTTGAGTAGATTTAAACTTGTTTGTCTATGATGATTTTTCTTGTATACGAATTCATTTGGAAATAATTCTAATCTATACATGAAGAAAATAAGTATTAAAGCATTTAACAGTTACATAAATATCTATTTTGAGTTAAAAATTATATTAAATTCATATTCAGATAAATATGAAATATACTTCTTCAAATAATTGATTTCACTGACGAACAAAGTGTTTTTTTTTTCATTATGACAGTCAAACATCTGCATGATATGAAGAACATTCGAAAATTGAAGAATGAGCGTGTCAAAAAAAAGAAATAATCTTATTCATACATTTATTATATGTTTTCATAACCAGACCAAAACAACATTATGGTTTTCATTGACGAAATTCGGTCAGCTATAACGAAGCTAAATAAATATGTAATTGTTCACATTTGATAAGCAAAAAAAAAGAAAAGCAACATATAGACATAGATAAACATGAAATATTCATGTACTCAATTGAATGATTTATCTGATGAAATTCTTCTGATTATTTTCAATAAAACTCAACAATGTCGAATTGTTTTATTCGTTAATAGGTATCAATAAACGATTAGATAAAATTTTACATGATTTTATTTTTACAAATATTTTAACATTAATGGAATATTTCTCATATAATCGTATTGATTCACTATTTGAGCCAATATTTGGTCGATTTTGTTTGCAAATCTTACCTAGTATTGAACATAAAATCAAATGATTTAATCTTGAAGCATCATCTATGAAACATATTCTTCTTTCTGGAAATTATTCGAATTTATCTGGACTTGGTATGTATAACATTACGAAAGAGAATGCTTTATATCTTATTACAGATAAAATATAATGTCTGGAAAATGTTTTAGTAGTAAAAATCAAGATGATTAATTTGACTGGATAATTTAAATAATATTGACCTTTTATTTAGATCAAACTTTATTAAATCATATGTTCAAAAATCAGATCTCATCACTTGTCATTCAAACTATTGGCAAAGAATATTTTGCATATGATCTCTATGCACTTATATTTACATATATCATTACTATGCTTTCCAATTTAAAATATCTAAATTTTGATCCATGTGATGTTTATTTTCAAAGAATATCATTCAACAATGTGCCACTGTCTGTTTTTTTTCTTCGATTTTGATAGAATTGCATATTAAAGTGCATTTTGTCGACAATTGTCTTCATTTACTTGATGGTCGTTTTGATCAGCTTTGTGTGCTCAATATTAAAATAAAATCACCGAGTTCTCCTACAATCTCAAAAATACACAAAGTAGATTTTTTAGCAATTTCTTATTTATTGAAACAAATTATTATATTTTAGGAAAAACTATTAAATCTAAGATGTTTTTCATTGTTCTGTAATTTGAAAATATACTTCTATGATAAAGCAGTTATACCACTTTTACATCGAATGTCAAATTTAGAAGAACTTTGTTTGTATTTTAAATGTTCTTGTAAAAAATTATTTGTTGATGGAAATGATTTGAAAGCTAATATTATCAATCATTTACCACGATTAAAGACATTCAAATTTAATATTTGCTCACTTATTGATCATTATAATCCAATTGATTTATTAACAAATGAAGATATTCAAAATATATTTAATCGATTTTCAAATAATCAAATTATTTCTTTTGTTGATTATTTTCCAGATAAAAATGAAGGTCAATATCATATTTATTCATATTCATTTACATTGACAAGTTATGAATGTATTACAAATAATTTTCCAGGTAGATTATATACATATGTTCGTAAAGTATTATTATTTGATGAACATCCTTTTGAACATAAATGTTTTCTTCGAATTCAAAAATCATTTCTATCCATAGAAGATCTAACTGTAACTAATCAAAAACCACAATATGAAAAATTAAACAATGGCAATCGAGATTTATCACTAATTCATTATCATCATCTTACTTGTCTTGATCCTATTGAAGTTCATGATGATTGTATTGAATAATTCTACTTGATACCAAGACATTCTTACTATTTTATCTTGATCTTCATGTCGATTGTCAATCTATACGAATAGTAACACACAATTTTAAAAGAATTGAAATAAGAATTAATTGTTCAAAAATCAATTGTGTATATTTAATAGATCATATATCTCGATCTTCGAAAGATTTCAAAAAGTATTTTCTTAGTATAGCTCGTATGTGATTATTTTGAATTCCTATTTGAATAAATGATTGATTTTGTATATAATAAATGTATTAAAAAATAATGGACAATGGTTTTAGATTTGGATTCATAAGAATCAAAATGTGTAATATGTACGTACATATTATATCAAACTTACTTCATAGCAAATAATTCTCGAATATGCATCAATTAAATATTGTATATTTTCTTAGGAGATATAAGTTAATAAAACGATAAAATCATTCAATTAAATGTCTTCGTATAACAGAAAGCTCGAGATGTTTTATTGAGGGAAGAGAGGCTTAGTAAATATTAATGGCGAACATGAATAATTCCACTGCTGATCATCAGAATTAGTTAAGAAAATTTATCTGCTATTATTCTTTTTTTTTACACAAAAAACAAATTCTTCAAAAAAAAGTCCGTGATCATTATAATATGTAAGGGTCTGGGTGTGAGTGGGTATGGAAGTGAGAGTTCTTGATTACACCCGTATCCATACCCATACCCATACCCACACCCACACTCGTAAAATTTCAGAAAAATAGATTATTTTACTGAATTTTTCAACAAAATTTCGTACTGTCCCTCAGATCATGTTGAAAGTTGACACTTTGACTTTAAACTTTGTACAAATAATGTTTTCAATGAAAATAGTTCATTCTGAAAGTTTCAGCTTTTACCGTTGCTTCTATCGTGAGATACTAATAAAAGCACAAAATTTGCTTTCTCTCACAATAGAATTTTGAATATCTGTATCTCACAGCAGAAGCAACGAAGAAAGCTGAAACTTTCAGAATGTACAAGTGTCATTGAAAGTATTATTTGTGCAAAGTTTCAGGTCAAAACTCAGAAGTCAACTTTCAACGTAATCTGAGGGGGAGTACGGAGTTGTGTTGAAAAATTCAGTAAAAATTCGATATTATAACAACGAAGACCTAGGAAGCAGAATCGTTCTAGACTTTTTCAATGTTCAACAATACTCATCGAACGAGCACAGTGGCGATCCAGAAACGATTTAGCACCTGGAGAAGTTTCCTCGCGAATTGTCGATGTTTCCCGACGAGAGATCTAAAATTAGAAGTTATCTATGAAGAGTATGGGTGTGGATGAGATTGTAGATGGGTGTCAGCGAGTGTGGGGTGCCCGTATTGGTATTTAAAAGGAGATACTGAGAACAGATATTAGCTTGCTAATTGTAATTCGAATTCATTCTGTCTTGTATTTGCATTCATATTCATAGGCACACAGCAAGGGATACAGCTTCAACCATACTTCAAGCCCATACCTCAAGCCTATGTCCGCATTCACACTCTCATCTATCTGAATAATACAATCAAGATTACATCGCCAAATTTTTCGTATTGGATTCTTTAAATTGATCTCCTGATTAGTACATTTTTAATGCGAAAATATGTTGCAACATTGTGTTAACGCGACGTTTTGTCCTTGTAACTATTTATTCGTGACGATCTGTCCTATGGCCATTTTGAAGCATTACGGGCTCATTTTTGAACACATGATGTTGGGTGTCGGTCGATCCGTCATTCTAACATTTATTTTGACTCAATATGCTTAAAATTTACTGAAACCAAAGATGAAAATTATCGTCTGATGATTCGGTTAAATATGTTTCGGTCATCACGTTCACTATTCAAAAACTTCAATCTATATTTTCAATTCTATTGTAAATAATTTTAGCTTAATCCATGAGAACAAGTTGTAGTATTTTGTGACAAAACATTCTATTTGTATGTAGAGAAATGTTTTGTTTGTTCGGCTTGTTGTATATAATATTGAAAAGCATGTTTCTATTCATTGCCTGTTTCCCTCAAACAGCGAACAATTTCCATAACTACTTTTTTATTCTAACTGAATAGCAATTATTCCGATTCGGATTCGAATGACAATTTTACTAGAATAACTAATGACGGGTAGTTCAAAACGAATCGTCCTCTCATTGTTTTACATTTTCTACACTTGCAATCGAGCTCGTTTATGTGAAAGACGATCTAAAACCGGCGTTGAAGTATATGGGGTAGAAATTTGCATTACCCCCCGCCAACACACACACATCGTAACAGATATTTTAGTGAATTAATCAATTACCATGTAATTAATTAACTGGCCATCACAGACTTTAACAAACAGGTTTCGAAATCATCACAGACCGTGATAGACGACTGCAAGGGACTACCAGAGGTGATGTATAACTACCATATAATTGAAGTATAGATGAAGCATGTCCTTGTTGAAGTTCTATGCTGTAAAGTAAACAACGATGACGAAATAGGCCTCAATATTCATGAAAAAGACCCGTTTTTAGGGATTAGCAAAAATGGGTATATCCTGCTTTACATTGTTATTCCGCAGAGATTTCGCTAACAGCTGTTTTATGAAAAGATTCCTCGTGGAATTCTGTATAACAATATATTAAACTTTTTTTTTCAGTGTAGGAATACAAAATTGCATGAAATATTCTGAAAGCCTTATAAAACCAAAAAAATGTAGGGAATTTTTCAAAGTTATTCGTTTCATTTGATGCGTATATAGGACACACGAAAAATTAATAAGCAGTTTTATAACCCACAAAAAATCTATCTTTCTGCAATGTTCAGAAAGAATTCACATGAAATTATGTTGCGCAGGACGCGTCTGATTTTGGAAAGAATCATTTCTTTCGCTCTAATGTNACTTGATATAATCTTCGATTTGTAAGTAATATATGGGCTTATTTTACAATATGTTTGTTTTTAAATCATTTTCTTCAGATGGGATGTTTCAGGTGATGGTCTTTCGAATGCACATAAAAAATCGAAAAATTAAATTTTGACCAGTGCCTCATATACTGGAGCGATCCTCGGTCCTCTCATGGATGCTCTCTTAAATACTACTAATATGACAAGGATAGTTGCTATTATGAGATTTCGAATCAAATACAGGATTGCTAAAAAGAAAAAAAACATCTAACAAGACTTATTTAGCAATATTCATCGTAAAATATCACACGAGTTCACTTATTGAACCTATTCAAGTGAATATAATCTTATTTTATTCGAAAAATTAAGAAAAAAAATAGGAGTAACATGAATAAATGGTATTGGAATTTATTTATAATCGATGCAATAATTTAAGCATCAGGAACGAGCAGTTTTTTAATAGCTTCATCTTGTTTCAATCTAACAAAATAAACATATATAAAAAGAAATAAGATTTAAAACAAAATACCCATTGATAAATTCTTGTTTGTTTAATTTCTTATCACCACTTGCATCAATTTTTTTTATTATTTCTTTGGCTCGATGTGTTGGATTTTTATCACCTTGACGATCTTTTACACCAGTACGATCATACTAAAATATCAAATAGTATTTTAAATTTCATGAAAAAAAAAGCAATCATACCATAGCCGAAATAAGATGAGCTAATTCATTTACATCTAAAAGTCCATCATCAGAAACATCCCATCTGAAGAAAATGATTTAAAAACAAACATATTGTAAAATAAGCCCATATATTACTTACAAATCGAAGATTATATCAAGTCGTTCGTCTACATTTCCAGTGTTATTACCAACAGCAGCAAGAACAAGAAATTCATTAAAGTCAATAGTACCATCATGATTTTTATCAATGGTATCAAATAAACTATATTTGAAAGAAAAATAAAATGAAATAAATTATATTAAAACATTGCATGAATATACTTGGGTGTTAAGTTTTTAGAACTTTCAGGAAAAAGTTGTTTAAACGTTGCCATAAATGTATCTTTATCCAATTTACCTGTTGGATGTTTACTAACAAAGTCCTGTAAAAAAAATAATTAATATACATATTATCGTTTAAAATCATATATATTCAACATACAGAATGCCATAAGTGAATTTCTATTTAGAATCAGAAGAAAAATATCAAGGAAAAAAATATATCAAACAGTATATCGATTACCTTTAGCACTTAAATGTGACGAATTTCGAATCATGTTTAATTCTGTTTAACATATATATATATTTAGTAGATTGTGTAACATATCGTCAAATCAACAAACCTTTGTCAGTCAAATCAGTTGGTTTTCGTTCCTTTCGAGGTTTTTTTGTATCCATTTATTTGTTTAATAATGTCGAATGAAAATTGAGATCTAAAATAATTATAATTAAATAGTGTACATGCTATTTAGTAAGTTGACCAATCTTCAGTGACTCTCATTAGTTAAAACACGGACACAGCGAAATATTTTTCTTATTTATAATACATACTTCTAATTGTGACGAGCAAAAACAACACATGATATCATGTATTTATCATAGGTCCACAAGAAATTAAATTTATCCTGGTCTAACTTCCCTTTAAAGTTATAAACAGTCTTTAATCTCTTTACTCCCTTTAGTCACTGTAGTTCCTTTATTTCCTTTAATCCCTTTAGCCCCTTTGATACCTTTAGTCCCTTTAATCCTTTTAGTCCCTTTAATCCTTTTAGTCCCTTTAATCCTTTTAGTCCCTTTAATCCTTTTAGTCTCTTTAGTCCCCTTAGTCCCTTTAGTCCCTTTAATTCCTTTAGTGTTAACCATTCTTTACTGTATTAGCAAGTTATTTGTTGTAATGTGAATGAGTAGGATGATAAATGTCACATCTTTAGAGGCATCCAAACGTGACATTTCCCACACCTCTAGTGCTGCTTGGTAGCAGCAGAGAACAAATTTAAAAATAAGGAACTAAAGGGACTAAAAGGATTAAAGGGACTAAAGGGACTAGAGGAATTAAAGGGACTAAAGGGATTAAAGGGGCTAAAAGGATTAAAGGGACTAGAAGGATTAA